CCGGAAGCAAACAGGAGGCAGAGATCACACTCAGGAATACACGGAAATAGTATTCGGATATTTTAGGAATCCTCTTCCTCAAGATTAAAAGTATGTTCTTCTCTCCTCTTTAGTTCTGAAATTTTTATCTCCCCAAAATCTCCTTCTCTTTAATTCAATCCCCTCATCCCCCTTTGTATACAAAGCAAGACCCAATCTTCTTCCACCATGTGCACCCTTTAACTTTTATTATTACTCATACTTTTATTTTAGTAAAAGTAGTCAACGTGGGCCCCCCGTATTCCCTCTTTTTGAAAAGTAGTCAAAGTGGGCCCCCATGTTCCCTCCTTTTGAAAAGTAGTCAAAGTGGGCCCCCTTGTTCCCTCTTTTTGAAAAGAAGACATCATCATCCACCTTTTCATTTTTGCTTTTATCATTACGTCTTATCCCCCACCATAATTAAATAATCTGCAATTGGTTAATTCCCGTATTACCCCTAAAACTATTGTTACTGCCCTGATTCAAAATCTGTTATAACTTCAAAAATCTGTCCAAATAACAATTATCGCACATTTAAATAGCAATTAACTATAAAAATCACACAATTTAGACGTTAAATGCTAAAAATGCAACGTACATTATTTTTATGATTTTGTAAAACAAACTTAAACAAATACTAAATGCAAATGCGACATATTTTTGTAATTTTTTATTAATTTAACCAATAAACACGCACAGACAGAAATACAAATAATTATAAAAAATGCCACAAAAATTCTAAAATTGCACACAAAGGAAAATTGTTTTATTTTGGATTTTTTGGGAGTAATTCTCTCATAGGGCAAAAATCACGTGTTTACACTCAATAATTGGTTATTAAAATTGATTAGAATTTGGGATGGCCATTTAGCGAACTCCACGGTCTTCCCCAAAATAATATTACGTCAGAATTTTTAGGCGCGATTTTAATTAAAGTTCCTTCTTAATCTCTGGTGCGCATTGATGCGACCCAAATCCAAATCTCAACGAAGTCGAAATGTGTTGACAACCACAGGTGCATTGATTGTGACGTGGTTCGAAATGCGTTTTCACGACGTTGCAATTCTTTTAAAATAAATAATGATAAAAAGCGGTTTACGAATAAAAGGCGTATAAGCTAGCATTAAAATCAGATAAAATCAAATACAACAGCTAAGCGACCGTGCTAGAACCACGGAGCCCGGGAATGCCTAACACCTTCACCCGAGTTAACAGAATTCCCTACTCGGATTTCTTCGCGGACTGTTAACAGAGTCATGAATATCCTCGGTTCGGGATTCAACCGGTGACTTGGGACACCATTAATCTCCTATGTGGCGACTCTGAATAATTAATAATTAAATCCCGTTCCGATTATCCTTTAAATGGAAAAACTCCTTTACGCCCATCAGGTGTAGGTGAAAAGGAGGTGTGACAGGCGCCAAACTGTTTACTTTGAAAATGGTAATAACAATTAGATTTGATTTTGTGGTTCTAAAAATACGTGATCTGTTTTTATGCTAGTTGTTAGGCAATAGATGCTAAGTGAGAGATTGGAAAATAAGATAATAGCTTGTAGATTGTGTAATAATCAAACCGAATGGCTGAAAACCAGGGCCTCGAGGTCGAATCGGATGCCCGGCTAAGGGCAGTCGATAGAGGACTAACAGTTATGATAGCTTTGATGAAGGCTTTTTATAGCCAATAATGAGCAATAAATGAAGAACAATAAATAGAACACAATGAATATAAGTACTGAAATCAAGAGAATATGTTAAATTAGAGAGCAGAGAGAATGTTCTTGTATATTCAATGTTATGTATCAGATGCCCCTTACAAAATGACAAGGATCCCCTATATATATGAGGGGGAATCCCAATATAGTACAAGTGCATTTATTACAAAGATATAGGGCTGGTACAGTCATCTAATGCCATGATATGGGTTTGAACTAGCCTAATAGACTTTGTCAGCTCTAGTCACGTGCCTTGGGAAACTCACATTGATCCACCGTAACCGCTAGTTTACACTGCCTTGAGGTCGATCATTGAGAACCCTCGAAATTGAAACCCCGAGCTGAGCTTCGAGCCTTTTGGGGGCAGTCTCTACGAGGCGACTTAATGATATAAAATTGGACCACTAATTTTTACCGCAATACATATAAGGGAGCATATAATAACGGTGAACTATAACGATACTTAAAGAGCCTTAACATAATTAAGTTAAGAGATAATTGAACATGCTGTGACGTTAGTTTTTCATACATCAAATCTAATTAATTGGCTCTATGGCGATCCGTTTTAAAGGAGTAATCAATACCTCTTTTTTTGGCTTAAAACGCATTTGGGCTTCAGAACACAAAAACGAAAAAGTTGTTTTCCAATAATAATTCTTCCAATAAAAAAAAGTCATCCGAAATGTAATCTAATTCTACATACTTCCAAAAAAAAAAAACTATTCACAATCAAACCAAAACGATATTATTTCTTTAATCTAATCCAAGCGCCACAGCTACTACAGATGATATTGGCACGTTTTCTTTTAATGCTAAGTTGAGCTTAAATGCGCTTCATAATAAGCATTTGACTCTCTCCTCAAAAACAATAACCTTTCTTCGTTTGTAAAAGAGATACTAACTGGTTGACCTTAAATAATTGGTTTAATTGGTCAGCTTAAGGCAAAAGGTTCATGAATACACGTGTCAGTCCAATTTTGTTTGCCAACTTCGGAATTCAATTTAAATTATTTTTGCTGATGAACGTATTCCTCAGTCAGTTTTACAAATTTGAGTTTCTATAAATTATTAATTTAAATTAATATGTACAAAACTATACCTTGAAATTGACACTAGTACTCACTGATAAAATATTCTAGTTAGAAAGTTCATCATTGTATGATAAAACCTATAAAGAGCTAAAAATTATATTACCATGCAGATGCAATTTTGTAATTAAATTTAATTATTCTCCGCGATCGATAGTACTTCAACTTCGTATTTATTTATTTATAAAAAACAAACAACTGGATAATATTGTCAAAGTTTGAGAACACCTAACATTCGGATAAACTAATACCAACTTAATTGTGAATCTTGACGACCTCTGTAGGCAGCCTGCACCACAATATTTATTAGTTTATAGACCCAATAATTCCTTTTATAAACATATTAATATTAAAAGAAAAATTATTGCAGGATTCATTCAGCCTGACAAAAGATCAAAACTTTTTTTCCATTGTCAAAAAGAGAAAAAATATATATTTAATGTAATCGAAACCAAGAATGCTAGTCCTTTCAATATTTTTAAACTCTCTTTTATGTCAAGGAACTTTTTCGAAGAAGAATAAAGAAATTATTTATCAGGACAAACGGATGAAATTAATTCTATAAAATAATAGAAAATGTCTTACACGATACATCTTCAATTATATTGTATATAATAATATGTACACTAGACACAACTAGGAAATCAGTATATACTTGTCAAAAGCATGAATGATGACGAATTATTACCAATTACCTCACATGTGTGCATTGAAAAGTAACAACCTTCGCAAATTGGCAACCATATAATTTATAAAATTAATGCTAATCAAATGCAGTCAGAGACCCCACTATGAAAGTGCATTTATAATTAATGTAATCGATCATCATTAACCAAATCGTCCAATCAAGAGAAATATTTTTGTAATTTTTGTCGTTATATTTCCTCAAAAGCAAGCTTGAAGGTATTTGTCAATGATAATTCTCTGAAAATTCAACAATAATACAAGGTTTTCGCTAATGGAACTTAATTATACATAATTAATCGCGCTTACGTACTACAAGTCTAGCTCCCATTATGGCGCCCCCACAGAAATAATACACTTTTTAACATATATAGGAAATAAAAAGGATGATCAAAGCTCAATATGTTTGTTCACATAAATTAACTATACTATATGATTTACGAGATTAAATTTTATGCACCGGCTATTTTATACAATCAAAGTCATTTAAACATTAATTATATATAATTTTACTTTAATAAGTATTAGTTGTTAATATAACACAAAATATACTGTAAGTAACCTGCTATAAACAATTAAACTATATTACTAATATAAAAATTATTTGGGTATTATCACTTTTAGCCCGTGCCAGAACTATTTACATCTAGATATAAAACTTATATAATTTTTGTATATAGCATACAGAATATATATATAATTTATACAATTTTTTGCTATTATTTTTACGGTTATGCAGTGCCATTTTTTCAAATTATTTGTATAACCAAGTGTATGTAATTTAAATCCGTCGTTTATTACTCAAGCGCTGGTTCATTGGTCGGGGACGTTGAATACAAAGAAGTCGTCAGCATTTTGCAATTTAATACGTACAAACCATATTCTATCTCCTTCAAATTAACAAAGGTTGGTTTTTTCTGCGTTGACAATTTCAAGTATTATTCGGGACTGAATCTATTTGGCCAGTGAACAACCTATATGGCCAAAACTTTATCCCTTTCTGAGGCATTATCTGTTTCCCCCATCCTTTTTATGGCCTTTGCTATCTTCATCATTAGTAACACTTCTCCAAATAAGCTAAAGGTCAGATATATTTCTCTCAATAGACTTTTTCCCCTTAGTTTGAATTCTACAAAGGGATGAACAATCCAACTAGGATAAAAATGAGGTCTATGCTCAATTTATCTTATGATAGAGGTTGAAAGTTGAAACCAAAATAGAAATATTTTCTTCTTCTGTTCTTAAATCCTTTTCTTTGTTTGAAACCGCAAAGAATATTTGTTAGTTGTTTGTTTAAATATATATAGAGGGGAATGAATAGTGAAATGGGAAAGGGAAAAGAGAAGCAGTCCAACTCATCTATACTTAAGAAGTTGGAGAAATATCTATCAATGAATAAATTTAGTGGAACCATTTTGTCAAAGAGCAAATCATGGCATGGCACCACAACAAATATTAAGAGCAAAGTGGCTCCAGATGGCTGTTTTTGGGTGTATGTTGGGCCTGAAAAAGAGAGATTTGTGATAAAGACAAAGTATGCAAACCATCCAATGTTCAAGATGTTGCTTGAAGATGCTGAAAAAGAGTATGGTTATAATTATAGCCAAGGCCCTATTTGTTTACCTTGTGATGTTGATCACTTCTACAAAGTGTTGGCTGAAATTGGCAGAAGCAAAGAGATTCAATCTTTAGGGTGTGGATCATGTAGTCCCTTATTTAGTCCTGGTAAGCGTTTGGGTAATAGCCAAATGGCTAAAGGTTATGGTTCTTATAGGGTTCTTACTCCTCCAAGATTGCTCAAGCTCAACTCTTTTCATTAGTCTATCGAGAAATGAAGTCCGTGAAAACTATAAGAAATCATAATTCAGGTTTAGATAAATATTAGTAGAGGTGTGTGTAGGTTGACTTGAACATCATTATTGCTATATAAAAAAATATATGTTAATAGCAATATTTGTTTAGAAGTCTCTTTTTCTTTGTTTTTAGGTTTCTCTTTGTATGTGGAGTTTGTAAACCTCACTTCTTTGTGGGATACATCTGTGGAGTCAATTATATCGATGGGTTATCAAAACTGTTTTGTTTGAAGATAAAAGCTGAGTAAAGAAAGCAGTTTCTTGGCCCATTTTAATTTGATCTTATAGACATATTATGGCAGAGATGTATAGATGTTTACATGCAGAAAATTGCCTGTGACTTGCGAGTCTTAAAATATATTGTGCAACAAATAATTGGTGTTTGGTTAATTTTCCTACCTCGTTTTTGTATGTTTGATGTGTCTATATAAAAGTCTTCTATCTTCTTTTTTTTCTCCTTCACTTGCATATAGAAAGTCTTCTTTTGAATTTTGATGTTGTCTAAAAAAAATTCCTTAGGCAGATGGCCACTTAATTTAATTTCACCAGCACATCTATCAATGATCAACTGATTCTTGAAATTATCATAACCGCACGCACTCAAGGTTAATGTATTTACATTCTCAAACCTGCTAAAATTAACCAAAATTGTGTTAAGGAAGACATTTCTGACTCAGATTCTTACACCTAGTTTTGATAATATCCTTTTTCCATAGTAGTCAGAAATTTTGGAAAAGAGGTGATTGTTACTTGTTACTTGTTACTTGTTAGGTGCTTGTAATGCAATGAGCTAGCCACTAGAACTATATAGAAAACAGTCTAGTAGTGTTTATTTAAACAGGTTTGGGTGGGATATATGAGTCAACGGAAATGGCTATTTTTGCTACCATAATAATGACAATTGACAACTAAAGGGGGCAAAAGATAGTGAGAGGGCACATGTTACTAACTTTTGAATTTTGATAAACATAAGGACTCTCATGATCTTTTGCCCAAATTCAAATTGTGTCTTTTGGTGGTCTTTTAACACCAAAAAGAGAGAAAATGAGACCAATAAGCTTTGAAATAATTAATGCACATAAAAAAGGTGTATCATATTTGGAAAGTCTCACGTCCTTCTCTACATAATTGCAGCCTACACAATGTTTTAGTTAGAAAATTATTTTATATAGTAATATAGGAATAGTTTTGGAGAGTGATTAAGACCTTAAAAGCTGACTATAGTGACTCCTATTCTATGACTTGGCTTGTACATGTTTTAATGTACAAAGGAAACGTGCAGCTGACAGAACATATAGTTAGTTACTAAANGTCCCCGAAGGGACTTTGGACTTTCTTTTGTTATGGTACAATTCAAAGTAATATAACGCTATATATCCTAAGTTAGTTAATTTGCCCGCGCTTCGTGCGGTCGTGAAAAGTATATATATATATATCCATACCCTCTTTTCTATGAAAATAAATTATACGTTTATAAAATGATATACATTGGAATTAATCATAATATTAATTATTTAGAGCAGATACTACTATATTTATCTGGTTTCCTTCTCGATTGTATACTGTTACTGTGTCTAATATTTGAAATTTTAAGTTTTAAACAATGTTGAAATACTAATTTGTATTTACTAATTTTAAAAGAAAAGAAGAAGAAATATATTTTCTTGAATTTTTCAAATTTTGTATTCTTGAATTTATATAATATCATAAAATACAAAAAAGAATATTACTATACAAATTCAATGAAAGCTAAAATTACGTTGAAGTTAAAAGTTGTAAATAATTGAAGAGAAATATTATATTTAAAAATAAATAGTTGTATTTTAATGATATTATACCAATTCGACAATACTAAACATAAAAGTCAATATAAGTATTAATTTTAATACCTTGTTATAGCATTTTTTGATTCGCGGAGAGAGAGGATGTATTGTCGAATGAGAATACAAAAAAGGAGGTTAAAATCTGGTTATTGTATAACTCAATAGTACTTTTTTAAAATTATTTTTGTATCTTTTTCTTTTGTATTTGATTCTCAAAAAATGAACGCGACATTTACTTGTGACACTAAAGCAATAAAAATAAAAACCCTCAAAAAGGGCATAGTGCGCCTGCAATTCGTGTGTGTATGTTATTTCACTTGTTTGTTTCTTCCAACTTTCAATTTTTAAGTAAATAAACTTTAATTTACAGATAAATGGATTATATGATTGTTTCATATTGATCACATTCATTCACATAAATATAAATTACATCAAAAGTGGGGAAGAGTATTCATCAAAAATCACCAAAACATACTTTCCTTTACTTATTTAGATCCTTCTACAACTCTAATACACCAATATTTTTTTCTATAGATACAAAGAGTAGAAAGGATTAAAGAGAAAAACGAAGACACTGGAGTGAGACCATATAAGCACATAGTGAAAATCTAAACAACACATCATTCACAGCGTTAGAAGGCTAAATGCATAGAGAGAACATGTACCATTTTGAGTAAATCTGGCTCTGATCACGCCCAACTATGCCTTATAAAAAGGACTAAGCGGTCGTTGTAAATATAATCAGGTTTACAAGTCCGGAGTCAAATCTCACAGAGAACTAAAGTTTAGCTACAACTGTTCAATCACCAAGAAGACAAGTTTGAACAATTCCTAAGTTATAAATATTAAGATTTTTATATCTAATTAACTAAATAATTAAAGTAGTAGATTACCAACTAAAGATACTACGGGTTGGAGAAAAAATTAAGTAGGTCTAGAGTTATAATTTTTCTAATTGTCGAAATCCTTCCCGCTATGTCTTTTATTATTTCGCCTAAGTATTCTCTACCGATCATGAGCGCTCTGAGTGTCGTAATTCTTTCCCGAGTAACTACCATAATTTACTACACATATTCTCCCGAATTACACTAGCTGACCTTAAATACGGCTTACTTGAATCGCACCAAGGTTTCGTTATCCCTAATCCCACTTTTAAACCCTCCGTATTAATCCCTCATATACGTAGGTATGATGTTGTTCAACAACTACCTAAATATGCACTTTCTCCCAAGTAATACACACTAAATAGGCACAGTCGATTGAGAGCTCTTTAACCAACCATAATATAAACGTAGTTGAACAAATAGAGAAACCCAACGGCTCAATTATATAAAAACATAACAAGAATTTATCCTACAAAAGGTTCTATCAAAACCCTAGATAACAAATTAGCTATTCATAATAGTATGCAAAACTACAATACTAGAATTCATAACCAATAATAGAAGTAGATGTAGAAAGAGGGGAAAATGTGGAGTTGAATCCTTCTCCTCCTTGCTCCTAGCGTGTTCTTGCCTCCCTAAAGTCTTCTCTCCCTTCAAAGTGGTGATTTAGGATGTATTTATATGACCTAGGGTTGATGAGGGACGGAAATTTTCAATCCAACTTCGGATAAGAGAGCTGGAGGGCGCGTCAACTTTCTTGCAGCGCGCGAACTTGGACGCGGACTCAGCTTTTGCAATTTTCCAGTTCGCGAAGCGATCCGTGCCTTCGCTTCGTTGTTTTGTTCTTTCATTTTTCTCCTTTTTCGCGTCAGTTTTCGTGCCACGCACGAAATTGGACGAGCTCCCAATTCTTTCCTTCTCTTCTTTTTGTGTTGAATTGTCATCTTTTGATCATTTATCATCCAAACTTGTTCCTACACATAAGAAATACATAATGAATATATTTCACTTCAAAAATTATGTAAACTCTCGCGACTCACCCACGATTTAATTTGCAAATTTACTCAAAAATATGCATTTTTCATCATTTATCAGCACCCCACACTTAAACTTTTGCTCGTCTTCGAGCAACATAAAATTAAGCGCATAGACAAGAAATACCTTTCAAAACATACCCAAGCATCACACCAATAACAATGGAATGCTTAGAACTTAACATATGTACTCTTCATACTCTCCTCATTTTTAGACCAATGCCAAGACTATTTAAAATATTTGTGTGACTCTCTAACATCCTAGCCTCAAAAATTGGCTCTACTACATTCCTATTTATGACTCGCTTCTTGTGCAAACTAAAGATACGAGTTCCTTACTAATCTGTTGTAAAGCATGTTCCCTCACCAATAAACAAAGAGAGTAATTAGTCCGCACACTCAAATATGAATTCAAGTGTAATTTAAGGACTTACAGAATGAAATTCACTCACTCTTGCAAAGAAACGCATGTGCCCCAAAGCTTGTATCATAAGCTTTCCCCTAATATAAGTCTCTACTAATTTAAGCTTGCAAAGTCTAGGAACAATTAGGTCTTCATTAGTTGTAATGTAGGCTAAGGGACGGGTAGGATAGAAATGAATAATAGTGACTTCCTAGGCAATTTTAATACAATACACTTTAGCTTTTAAGCGCATCCTCTTAGTGATCACGCTACGACACCGTAAATAATGTAGCCCATTGACTTTAAGCACATCTACATAAGCATTAGCGCATATCAAAGTGAATTGGAGGGATTTTTTTTAATTATTTTGTATTTTCTTTTTCTTTCTTTTTGTTTCAAAATCTTTTCAACACCCTCCATATATTGGTATTTCCAGCTAGTGGCTCTCTCAATATACGCATGCACCTTTTGGCCTTTCTAAGGTTCCACTCAAAAACTACCCAATCTTTTTTCCTTCTCTTTTAGTGACTTAAGTGCTTTCGGAGGTAAAGGTTCAACTAGCTTTAATTAAGAATAACAGGGATTCGTTTTGTAATGTGGGTACCAAAATAAAAGGTTTACAGGCTCAATTGAGCTAACAAAGGATAATTTTTATCGCTGGTAGGCAAACAGACTAAAGGATCAATTAAAGAAACGCCTATATCATTTCCTAAAATCACAAGACTTAATCATTCGCTTTGACTCACACACGGGGCAAGTTCTAGACTAACAAAGGATGGCACAGTGTACAACCAAAATCTCACCTCACACAATGCACATGACTTACTCAGGACGACTCAGACCCCACTCTCCAGTTAAAGCAACTAGCACAGTCATCATATAATTCAAACACTGGGAAGTAATAACATGAGTCAATAGACGAGCCCAAGCATCAAAATAAACACATATACTCTCAAGTCATATAGTCACAAGAATAAAGAAGAAAGTATTCAGTGTAAATGCGCCAGCTCTAAGCCCCAATATAAAACATGCCAAAAAACATGGATACTCAAGTTCTTCCTATTCCATTATCAGTTGAAAAAAAATCTTTTAGTAATTTTCTTTAGACTTTAAACCCTCAAGAAAACTATCTAGGAAGTCCATCGTTGGGAAAAGTCCAAAACCTTTTGAAAATTCTATTTAAAAAAATTACTACTCGGTTCAAAGAGTCATCCCTTGGAAAAGAACTGTGGTCATAAGAAAAACC